CTGGGCAACTCCATGTGGCCCCATGCTGTTCGGCACGCTACCGTCGCTAGGAACAGGGTACTCACAAAGGTTGGGGATGACTCGTGGGTGCCGTTGGAGAGGTGGCTTGGGAGGAAGCCGCCGGTGGACATGCTGAGGGTGTTCGGTTGCATGGCAGTCGCCCACGTCCCCAAGACCTACCGCAGTAAGTTGGGGGCGAGTGCAATCTGGTGTGTGCATTTGGGGCTGGCTGCTGAGAGCAAGGGATGGCTGCTGTGGGAACCCTCCAAGGGTGTGTTATTTGACAGCAGGGATGTGAAGTTTGTTGAGGGCATGATGTATGGGAGCTGGGAGAAACAGCCGGAGGCCAGGGTGTCCCAGCAGATGGAGCAGATTACCATGCAGCTGGACCTGACTCCTAGTGTGTGGGAGGAGGGAGAGGAGGCAGCTGCAGAGGGTGGTGATAAAGAGAAGGTGCAGGAGGCACCTGCTGGTGGAGGTGATGGTGTGGAGATTAGCGGTAGCACTAGTGGAGCTGCTGGATCCGAGGGAGGAGAGCAGCAGCAGGGGAAAACTAAGAAGCCGAAGGGTGTTATTATGAAGGGATGGGAGACACCCGTCTCCAGGCCAGGACGTACCCGTATGGCTACTAAAAAGCTGACTGCAGGAGCTGATGTAGCGGAGCAGCAGCTTGGGACCGAGGAGGCATTGCTGATTCTACCGCATGGCTATGACCCGGATGAGGAGGATCAACCTGCGTACTGTTTTCTTGCCCCTGCACCAGAGGAACCAGCTAGCATGGAGGAGGCATTAGCTGGACCAGATAGGGACAAATGGCTAGCTTCCAGGGATGCTGAATACCAGAGCCTGCTGGAGAATGGGACTTGGGAACTAGTGGTGCTGCCTGAGGGAAAGAAAGCGGTACAATGCAAGTGGGTGCTAAGGATCAAGACTGACGACAAGGGGCAGGTCACCATCTACAAGAGTAGGTTGGTGGCTAAGGGGTTTATGCAGAAGGAGAAGCGGGACTTCAATGAGATCTTTGCTCCCACTGCCAAACCCCCTACCCTTCGTGTCTTGTTGGCAGATGCAGCCGTTAGTGGGAAGTTCATTATCCAGATGGACATATCAACGGCATTTCTCAACGGGATTTTAGAGGAGGAGGTGTTCATGACGCAGCCACCTGGGTATGAGGATGGTACGGGCAGGGTGTGCAAGCTGAAAAAGTCCATCTATGGCTTGAAGCAGGCGCCACGCTGCTGGTACCAGAAGTTGGCAGCTGTTTTAGAGGAGATGGGATTCAGGACCAGCAGCTGTGATGAGAGCCTCTTTCTCAAGGGGGAGGGGGAGAAGCTGGTGCTGTTTCTGGTCTATGTGGACGACATTCTTCTCTTTAGCAGCAGCATGAAGGAGATCCAGAAGGTGCAGCAGCAGCTGATGGAGAACTTCAAGTGCAAGAACCTTGGGGAGGTAAAGTACTACCTCGGGATGCACGTGGAGAGGGATCTGGATCACAGGTGGTTGAAGCTGCACCAGGAGAAGTTCATCAAGGAGCTTGGGGAGAAGTACGGAATTGAGAATGAGCGCAAGGTTGCAACTCCCCTGCCAGCAGAATTCAAGCTTGTGAAAGCTGCAGAGGATGAAGGAGTTGAAGCCGAGGAGCAGCAGCAATTTCAGTTCTTGGTGGGCAGCCTCTTGTATGCAGCAGTTCACACGAGACCCGACATCTCTTTCTCGGTTGGGCAGCTGGCTAGGGTAGTGCAGAATCCATCAGAGGAGCAGGTGGATGCAGCTGAGCGTGTGGTGAAGTATCTGAACTCTCACCCAAGCATTGGAGTTCAATACTCCGCATCTGCACAGGTGAAGCAGAAAGGGGTTGAGGTGCTGAAAGAGAAGGGGGAGAGGCTTGGAGAAGGCAAGCTTTTTCTCACTTGCTTTACTGATGCTACGTGGGCCTCTGAGAAGGAGGATTCCTCATCTGTGGGAGGATACATCTGCGTAGTTGGGGGAGGACCGGTTAGTTGGAGGTCAAAGAAGCAGACGGAGACAGCACTCTCTTCCGTGGAATCAGAGTACATGGCGATGTTCCATGGGGTGAAGGAGGTGATTTGGCTGAGGAGGCTGTTGGAGGAGATTGGCCAGGAGCAAAAGGTTGCTACGCCGCTGTTTTGTGATAGCAAGGGAGCTCTTGGGATGGCCAGGAACGCTGTGCTTCATGGGCTGAACAAGCACATGCGTATCAAGTGGCACTGGCTGCGTAAGGAGGTGAAGAGGGGGACGGTGAATCCGATCTACATCAAGACTCACCAGCAGCCAGCAGACTTCCTCACCAAGAGGCTTGCGGATGAGTCTCATTGGCGTTGTGTGCGCATGAGTGGAATGAGCATGAACTAGTATGGAATGATGGGGATGCAGCCGGCAGGCTGAGGGGGAGTGTGTTGGGTGCAAATTCACATTGCACGACATCCTGCCGTCTGTTTGTACGAGTATGCGTGTGCGAATGCATTTGCGTGTGAATGGTATGTTTGTGTGTTTGTTTGCTTTCGCAATTTTCGCTTGAAGCATTTGCAGGTACTCGCACAATGTGCGCTTCGGCATAACATTGTACGCGCTATGAACAGTACAAGCAGAAAGGACGAGCTCGCAAAGGAACCCAAGATGGAAGCTTTGCGGTTCAACTTACTTGATTGCGCAGATTCAGTTCTATCCAACTCGAAATTGTACTGTTTTGTTTGGTTGACTATAGTGTAGCAGGGCAGGCACTATAGGGGTACAATTTAGGTGAAGGTTGGATGTTGTTTGTCTGTATCTGCATGCTACAGGGCCAGGGGAAACCAGCGGAACCAGCATTTGGCTGGTTGGGCAAAGACAAAACAGGTTCTGTTTTTAGGACCTGAACCTGGTTGTTGTTTTCCCAGGTTGGAAAAACAGAACCAGAGGTTGTTCACCAACCTATCACCTGCTATTTTGTCCAGCCAGGTTGGTTCTGTTGCTTGGAATTATTTGGGATCATCCCTGGTTGTTCCCAGGTTGATTCCCAAGGTCCTTGCTAGCTAGAGCTATTTATTCCTTCTCTGTTTGTACCTGAATATAGTGAAATTGATTCAAGCGAATTCCTTCCTTGCTGGAATTTCTTTTCTACGCGGTGCGACGGCGGAATGCTACCCGAGTCAACGCTAGTACGCTAGCACTCCAACGCTAGGCTAACGCTGTCCGAGCCATAACTTCGTAATGGCAGAACTTTTCGCGAGGCAACTTGGCTTATTTTAAAGCTCTTAGAGTGAGCTTCGATATAGGAAATTCTCAGCTTAATCCGATCGACGGTCTGCACGATACGCTGCGCGACGTTCAAGGTACTCTTGCTGTTTTGACTAAGTCCCTCTTGATCCCTCTCTCTACAAACTCGGACCCGAGGATAGGGGCTGGTCTTGTACCAGGCACCCAAGGACCCTTGGAGGTGACCCCGAGGAGAGGTTTTAAGTGTGATAAAGTCTTAATAGCTTGAGTTTATTAGGCCCTTACACCAACACGCTTCACCCTGGAAATCCACATGCCACTGACGATGTTCGCCCCAGGTGGGGGAACCTCGTCGACGTAGGTGCCTGTGGATTTCCAGGAAGCCATCTCTGCGTCCATGGCTGACTGCCACTGAAAGGAGTAGGGACCCTCGATCGCCTTAGCGTACGATCGAGGAGTCGGGATGTCTGGTGCATCCGGGTCTCCCTCAGGGGCAATCAGCGTGGACACGAGATGAGGCAAAGCAGCAGCAAAACACTGGAACTCCTCCTGCCTGTCCTCAAGGACGTCCGTGCTAAGAGCGCACTCACCCCCGATGGACGGAGGACAGACAGACTCAGACTCAGCAACAAGACTAGCAGCGTAGTCTTGACAACAGCGAGCAGCAAAGTCGACAAGCTCAGCAACCAAGGCAGACGCAGTAGTGGACTCAAAGGAAGGGTCAGTGACAACAGTAGCTAGGAGACGCATAACAGTAGGACTGGCAGCACGAAGAGAGTCAGACTCCGGGTCTGCAAGGATAGGAAGAGAGGAGTCTGGGGGAGACGGCAACGGGACACGCAGAGGAGCAGTGGAAGGACGCAGTGCCATCTGGTGTGTGCCTGGGACCGCAGGAGGACGCGGATGCGGAGCACGACTACTAGTGTGAGCAGCACAAACAGGCAACGCAGGACGAGACGCAGGCTCACGACGCTCAGCAAGACCTCCAGTAGGACCAGTGTAGGGAGAAGGAACGGGCAGAGGGGAGGCGGGCTGTAACTGTGACTGCGACTGGACAGGCTGTGGACACTCTAAGGGAGGAGCACGACCAGTAGAAGGCGGAAGACCAAGAACCTGCTCAAGGAGCGGAACGAAGTACGGCCGCGGCCGCGCAACGCCTCCAGAGCCAGCAAGGACAGCACCAGTACCCTCAACGGCAGCACCAGCGCCAGCAGCACCTCCACCTCCAACAGCGCCAACTCCAGCACCCGCAGATGCACCAGCGCCAGCAGCACCTCGAGCGCCAACACCCCGAGCAGCTCCGGCTCCAGTAGCTCCAGCTCCAGCAGGACCGTCAGCTCCAGTACCACCAGCACCTCCAGCAGTACCTCCAGCAGGACCAACTCCAGCAGCCCCAGCAGCACCCCCAGTCCCAGCAGCTCCAGTACCACCAGGACGAGCACCCCTGGGACCAGCAGCAACAGAAGTACCTCCAGCTCCAGCAGCACGGCTCCAGCGCCGGGCAAACCACTCGCGCAACTCCTGCGGAGAGAGTATCTCCCGCCTCGACGAAGCACCACGAGAGGCCACACGAGCAGACTCAGCACCCTCAGGCTCCGCACCCCCAAGCTCAGCACCCCCAGGCTCAGCACCCCCAGACTCAGCACCCCCAGGCTCCGCACCCCTAGACTCAGCACCCCCAGGCTCCGCACCCGCACGCTCAGCACCTCCAGACCCGGCACCCGCAGGCTCAGCACCTCTAGCAGCACCAGAGTCAACAGCTACCTCGACAGGCTCGATCGCGTCTACCTGGGACACACCTGACGGGGCTGGACCTTGAGGGGGGAGGGGGTCTACCGGGGGAGGACCAGGCGCAAGGAAGAGCGGCGGCGGGGTGAGGGGCGCAGTGCGGTAGGGGAAGAGACGGTAGTACGGCACCGACTCGTCAAAGGTGACGTCCTGGGAGGACAGAACACGGTGCGAGGTGGGGTGGTAAAACTGCCACCCAGGCGCGTCAGGGGGGAAGCCAAGGAAGACGCAGGGAACAGCACGGGGGGACAGCTTGTCCGCAGACAAGTCGCGGACAAACGCCCGAGATCCCCCGACCTGAAACGCAGACGCATCGCCAACCTTCCCCGTCCACCGCAGGGTGGGGGAGGTCTCTGGCAAGGAGACCCGGGGCTGGAGGTTGAGCTGATGCGCTGCAGACTGAACCGCAAACGGCCACAGAAAATGGGGGGCAGCCGCATGGATCATGGACGTACGAGCGACGTCCATGACCATGCCAATGCGGCGCTCAGCAATCCCATTTTTCTGTGGAGAGGCCGGAAGCGTGAAGGTCTGGCGGATGCCTTGTGCTCGACAGAAGGCTCCCAGACGGGCAGAGGAAAACTCCCTGCCTCTGTCAGAGTGCAGACGCAGAACAGGAAAGTCCGAGCTGAAACTCTCTCTGAGCTGGAGACGAGCTGCGCGGATCCAGTCGATCAACACCTCAGTGACGGCACCCTTGCTGCGCAAGGAGAAGACTGTGGTGTAACGTGAGTAGTCGTCAACCACCAACAGGAAGTAACGCTCGTGACCCTGGCCACGGACTCGGGTGGGGCCCCACACGTCCATATGAAGAGTCTGTAGCGGAGCCTCTGTCGGAGGAAACTCGGAGGAGTGAGGGGCGGTGCGCTTTCGCCCCTCGACGCAGGGGACGCACGTAGGGGCAGGCCCCGGAGGTAGGGGAGGTGGAGACCAGAGACAAGGACACGGGAGGCCATCCCTCGGAGACGAGGCAGGGAGGGGTGACCAAGGCGGTGGTGCCAGAGGAGAATCTTGTGGGACAAGAGACGACACGAGCAGGGCGCAGACTCAGGACCAGACCTGGACGCTGCAGCAAACACCTGACTCGCAGGAGTGAACTGGTCAACCCCCCTATCCTGTAGATCATCTCCACTCACCAAGTTCGTAGAGAACGAGGGGAGGTAGAGGCCTGACAGGGTGCCGGAGGGGGCTGCCAGGCACGGTAAGACAGTGGAGAAGCTAGCAAGGACACGACCCCCAGAGGGGTCCGCCAGGGAGACCGCAACCGGCCGACTAAGCGGCGTAAGCGTGGTGCGGTCTCGAAAGAAAGAGCGGGAAGCACCCGAGTCAAGGGTGAAGGTGTGTAAGGCCTGAGCCGACGTGGTACCTGAGAGAGCAGACTCACCAGCACCTGGGGCAGAAGACGCACTAGCACCTAGAGCAGCAGCCTCACCAGCACCTAGAGCAGCAGCCTCAATGCGCGGGTCAGGCGGAACACACAGGTAACAGTCACCCTCATCACTAGTAGACACAGCATACATGGCAGCAAGAAAAGCATCATAGTCAAGATCAAAGATAGCAACCCCAGCCCTAGACAGAACGTCCAGTGAGGGATCTCAGTAGCGTCAGGGAACTGGTGACGCCACGCGTCCGTCAGGCGGCCGAAGCAGCGCTGGGTGGAGTGCGGGCCCCCGCACTGCTCACCAGCATGGTCGCCTGTACGGAGGACGTAGGTGCAGGGACCAGTACCCCCACCTCGCTGACGCCCAGCGTACCACTCACGAAGCTGCTGAGGGGACGGGGTCTCACGAGCGCGCTGCTGCTGCTGGCGCGGACCACCACCGGAGCCACTCCTCTGCGTAGAGCCGCGACCAGCTCCACCGCCCCCGCCGCCGTCTCCGCCACCTCCGGCGCCTCCGCCACCTCCGCCGCCTCCGCCACCTCCGCTGCCTCCGCTCCCTCCGCCACCACCGCCGCCTCCACCGCCTCCACTGCTGCCACCGACACCTCCACCCCCGCCACCACTCCCACTACCACCCCCACCTCCTCCACTGCCTCCACCACCACCTCCACCACCCCCACCAGCCCCTCCAGCGCCCTTGCCCCCCTTGCCCTTGCCGGTGCGGCGTCTCCCACTATTGGCAGACGCAGCGCCGACCGACTCGAAACCAACGAGGTTGGCCGCAGCAGCAGAGGCAACAGAGGGCAAGAGGGGGGAGGGGGAACACCCCTCAAAGACGGGGGTGCGAGGGTCACCACGAGAGGCTCCTACAGCGACTATGCTCTTCTCTGCTGCTAGGAGGCGCTCCTCGAGGAGGTCAACGGTGAGTGTGGTGGGGCAAACTGAGAGGAAGTGGTCCCTGATTAAGCGAAGAGAGTCAGGGAGCCGGGTGACTATGTAGTAGAGGGTGATGTACATGGGGGGTGTCAGAACATTATAGCTTACTTATTTATGTAGGCTATAGTGGGGTATCCCATAGGGGGTACAACCCAATTAGGGTTTCATATTTGTACTCACTGCATTCATAGTTGATTCATTCTCGTTCAGTTATTCACAGGGGGGGGTTCTTGGCACAGAACTCAGCAGGAAGCGCAGCGCGGTAGCGAGTGTCACTAGTGCGGCGTAATGAGGTCAGCGACTGTAGGAAAGGCAGCAAGGTCTCGGAACAGGTACGGCAGCATGAGGCGGCTAAGCGCAGCAGTGGCAGGGGAGGAGTAGCGTGCAACTACAGCGTCGTACAAGGTCTGAGCACTCTTGTACTGGCTAAAGTGCGCACGCTCAGTGGGCGGTAAGTGGCGACGCACAGCAAGGCGGGCAGCAGCATCGTGTGTGGCCCACTGTGAGCGAACAGTGCTGTCAGCAGTAGCAGGTGGGGTAGGAGAGACACCAGAGGTGAGATCGAACAAAGAGAGTCCATTTGCCCTATCGCACTGGAGGAACAGCTGGAGGTCATCGACCCAGACCTCAAAGTCAACAGCACGACCCTCAGCATCAAAGGTAAGGACACTTGGGGTAGCCATGACTGCAGTGGTCTAGCAGGGAATGATCTCACCAGTCCGAGTAAGTAGGGCCGGGGCGCGCCGGTAGGAGCAGTAGGGGCTCGACGGCAGGGCGGCTCGGCGGCTCGGCGGCTCGGCGGCTCGGCGGCTCGGCTGCTGGGCGGCTCGGCTGTCGGGCGGCTCGGCAGTCGGGCGGCTCGGCTGTTGGGCGGCTCGGCGGCTCCGTTGCTGGGCGGCTCGGCGGCTCGGCTGCTGGGCGGCTCGGCGGCTCTGCTGTTGGGCGGCTCAGCTGCTGGGCTGCTCGGTAGAGGCGGCGTTGGGGCCGCTAGGGGCGGCGACAGGGCCGCGTAGGGAGGGGAGCGGCGACGGGGCCGCTAGGGGCGGCGACGGGGTCGCGTAGAGGCGGCGACGGGGCCGTGCAGTGGCGGCGTTGCGGCCGCGTAGGAAGGGAAGCGGCGACGGGGCCAGTAGGGGCGGCGACAGGGCCGCGTAGGGGCGGCGACGAGGCCGCTAGGGACGGCTACGGGGCCGCGTAGGTAAGGGAGCGGCGACGGGGCCGCTAGGGGCGGCGACGGGGCCGCTAGGGGCGGCGACAGGGCCGCGTAGGGGCGGCAACGGGGCCGCGTAGGGGCGGCGACGAGGCCGCGTAGGGTGAGAGGCGGCGACGGGGCCGCTAGGGGCGGCCACGGGGCTGCGTAGAGGCAGCGATGGGGTCGCTACGGGCGGCGTCGGGGCCGCGTAGGGGCGTCGACGGGGCCGCGTAGGGTGAGAGGCGGCGATGGGGCCGCTAGGGGCGGTGACGGGGCCGCTAGGGGCGGCGACGGGGCCGCGTAGGGGCGGCGATGGGGCCGCTAGGGGCGGCGTCGGGGCCGCGTAGGGGCGGCGACGGGGCCGCGTAGGGTGAGAGGCGGCGACGGGGCCGCTAGGGGCGGCGACTGGGGCCGCTAGGGGCGGCGACGGGGCCGCGTAGGGGCGGAGACGAGGTCGCTAGGGGCCAGGAAGGTCGGCGAACAAGGCGCGCCTCGGTCAGGAGCGACTGACGCTCCGGTCAGGAAAAAAACAAAATTCAGTGGTGGGCCCAAGGAAGCGTTCCCACTAGGGAACCTGCTCTATACCATGTGAAGAATGAGGAATGAATGAACTAGCAAGCAGGTGGGTACAAGTAGGAAAACCTAGAAATGTTGTACCCCATATAGTCTACCCCACTACAGCCTACACAGACTATAGCATATAAGTTTGACAGACGGATCCTATAATCCACTCTAGCTCTCATAACGTGTAGATATAACCAGAGGATTCAGTAGACAGGATAGGATCTCAGAAGTCTGGGAGGAGACAGTGAAGCCTCTGTAGTGACCTTGTTGAATAATAATTGAAAGAAAACAAGATGATTGACCGTTGACTTCTTCAGACGGTTGACCTTCGGGTGACCCTCGACATTCCGCATGCTCTATATGAGCTATTGCGGTACCAGTACAGTGGAGCTGCTTCGGGAATGCTTTATATAACCTTTCGGTTGTTTCAACACATCAGGGTTGTATTGTAGCCACTGTGTACAGAGGATCGCAGATGCAGTGAAGTCTGCGCCATGGTACATGTGTTGCGCCTCAAAATCATTTTAGACAATTGTTTCATACCAATACATGCGTCGAACAACCTTCCCTTCTCTTTCTATAAATAAAAGTATGATCGATCATAGCTCTATTACGAAGTTGGTTGTGACTGTAGCTCTCGGCGTTCGGATCAATGCAGTCGATTGTCAATATCGAGGATTAGGATTGCAGACCAAAAGCGGGGAAAATGGGGGAGTTGGAGGGTGGTTTGGGTTGAGCAATAATGATCAAATCGGTGTTGCCGAAATAATAATCGCACTCTTCTCCATCATCCAGCTGAGGGTCTGAAGTCTCGCGCAACAACCGTGGCGCATGCAGGCGGGCATTGCCTGTGAGGACGACTCAGAAGCCATGGATGATTTCGTCCTCGGGTTTGTGGCTAGGAGGAAACACTTTCTCTCCCATAAGTCACCCCCGGTACGACACACCATGGTTCAACAAGGTGCTTGTCGGAATTCTAAGTTCTCCCTGCGACATGGGGGAAGTGCTTGCGAGCTATGTGAAGAAATGAGGAATGTTTTGTGTAGCGGGTAAGTGCGCCCATAACCCCCCAGGCCAACGTGCCTGTAACCCTTCCCTAGGATCAATCGGGGATCACCAGTGGACCTCTGACACCCTCCCGCACTGGGATGCCCGAAGTGCACACACCGGGATTTGAACCCGAGACCTTCGCTCTGATACCATGTCAGAATCCCAACCACTAGACCATTGGGATAAAAGGGCTTGTTTGTGTAGCGGGTCCGTGCACCCACAACCCCCCAGGCGAACGCGCCTGTAACCCCCCTAGGATCAATCGGGGATCTCACAGTGCAGCTCTACTGACACCCCCCCACACTGGGAGGCCTAGGACTGAGCACAGTGGCAACGGCCAACATGTGCATACACCGGGATTCGAACCCGAGACCTTCGCTCTGATACCATGTGAAGAAATGAGGAATGTTTTGTGTAACGGGTAAGTGCGCCCATAACCCCCCAGGCCAACGTGCCTGTAACCCTTCCCTAGTATCAATTGGGGATCACCAGTGGACCTCTGACAAGCTACAGGTCCAGAAAGTCGGTAGAATTGCTGTTGCGAAAATAATTGCACTCGGCCAACCTCCAGCTGTCAGGCTGAAATAAGTTTCTCACCAATCGTGGGTTTTTTCAAAGCGTTCTAGTAATATTTTTTCTCTGGTGAAGCATCAGAGTTCACAGCAAGCACTGCATAACTCGCGACGTCGTGGTTTTTGAACCCTTACTCATTTTGCAAGAAGCCGTTTTTGGCAATATCTCAATTCGTGGCTCAAATGACTCAGCCTGCCGTCACTGACCGAGAAAGCGCCACTGACGTGCCAGGACCGCCGTCGTCCACTAACGATGCCTCTACGAGAACTGATGCCGTTGTCGCGACTGATGCCGTTGTCGCCACTAATGCTGTTGTCGCCACTGATGCCGGTAGTCTTCCTCGGCAGCCTCGTCTTGTGATTCAAGATTTCCCTTATGACAAAACTAGTCGCGCTAACGAAGGAGCTGTAGCTGCTCCCCCGCAGTTTCGCGCGCATCTGCTTGTGGGCAAGGTTCACCCCACGACCACAGAGTGCGCGGCTTCCGGCTGGGAGCAAAATGCTTGGCACAGCAGCCAATCCGATACAATGGCCACTTTCACGGATACCATGAAAATGTACTCGTTGCCCATTATGGAGAAACACCCTCATAACGAGGATGACGACGGCATTTTATCGAGGGTTAGTGACGGCGTGGTCCCATGCAGCGGGTACGAGATCCTGGACGGGGAGAAAGGCCTAGGCAGTGGCGATATGCGAGACAGCAAGACCAATATCAGACGAGCCGCCACGGATCTGCCACGTGCCAAGGCGCCGTACACCCGGCGATCCGCATACCTGACGGCCCGGCAACGTGAGGCATTGGCATCGAGATTTTACAACGAGCTGAAGCAGAACACGGTCGTGGGCGATGACTACAAGGTGCACATTCAATCGGACAAGTTCTCTCGGGAACTCCAGGAGGATTTTCTGCACATGTTCGCGCAGCCGCAGTACCAGGCGGGGCATGAGGGCGAGGTGATAGCGCCGCGTGCGGCGGAGAGCGTAGGGAAGCTGAACATATGCATGCTGATCGTGGGCACGCGCGGGGACGTACCGCCGTTCATTGCCATTGGTCAGAAACTGAAGGTGCGGCATACAAGGTGAAATCAGCGCCCGGGGGTGGGTGGGGGACGTGGAAGGAGTCGCTCAAATTATTGTCCATGACTCCCCCGTGCCATCCCCGCGCCTCCCCCCAGTGCCTTTCCCTCCCTGCCATCCGCGCTCAGTCCCCCCAGTGCCTTCCCCCCCTGCCATCCGCGCTCAGTCCCCCCAGTTCCTTCCCCCCGTGCCATCCGCGCTCAGTCCCCCCAATGCCTTCCCCCCATGCCATCCGCGCTCAGTCCCCCCAGTGCCTTCCCCCCATGCCATCCACGCTCAGTCCCCCCAGTGCCTTCCCCCCATGCCATCCACGCTCAGTCCCCCCAGTGCCTTCCCCCCGTGCCATCAACGCTCAGTCCCCCCAGTGCCTGTTGGGTGCAAATTCACATTGCACGACATCCTGCCGTCTGTTTGTACGAGTATGCGTGTGCGAATGCATTTGCGTGTGAATGGTATGTTTGTGTGTTTGTTTGCTTTCGCAATTTTCGCTTGAAGCATTTGCAGGTACTCGCAAAATGTGCGCTTCGGCATAACATTGTACGCGCTATGAACAGTACAAGCAGAAAGGACGAGCTCGCAAAGGAACCCAAGATGGAAGCTTTGCGGTTCAACTTACTTGATTGCGCAGATTCAGTTCTATCCAACTCGAAATTGTACTGTTTTGTTTGGTTGACTATAGTGTAGCAGGGCAGGCACTATAGGGGTACAATTTAGGTGAAGGTTGGATGTTGTTTGTCTGTATCTGCATGCTACAGGGCCAGGGGAAACCAGTGGAACCAGCATTTGGCTGGTTGGGCAAAGACAAAACAGGTTCTGTTTTTAGGACCTGAACCTGGTTGTTGTTTTCCCAGGTTGGAAAAACAGAACCAGAGGTTGTTCACCAACCTATCACCTGCTATTTTGTCCAGCCAGGTTGGTTCTGTTGCTTGGAATTATTTGGGATCATCCCTGGTTGTTCCCAGGTTGATTCCCAAGGTCCTTGCTAGCTAGAGCTATTTATTTCTTCTCTGTTTGTACCTGAACATAGTGAAATTGATTCAGGCGAATTCCTTCCTTGCTGGAATTTCGTTTCTACGCGGTGCGACGGCGGAATGCTACCCGAGTCAACGCTAGTACGCTAGCACTCCAACGCTAGGCTAACGCTGTTCGAGCCATAACTTCGTAATGGCAGAACTTTTCGCGAGGCAACTTGGCTTATTTTAAAGCTCTTAGAGTGAGCTTCGATATAGGAAATTCTCAGCTTAATCCGATTGATGGTCTGCACGATACGCTGCGCAACGTTCAAGGTACTCTTGCTGTTTTGACTAAGTCCCTCTTGATCCCTCTCTCTACAAACTCGGACCCGAGGATAGGGGCTGGTCTTGTACCAGGCACCCAAGGACCCTTGGAGGTGACCCCGAGGAGAGGTTTTAAGTGTGATAAAGTCTTAATAGCTTGAGTTTATTAGGCCCTTACACCAACAAGCTGGTATCAGAGCTGCGTTATAGTGATCCTCGATATAGGTAGCTATGGCGGGCAACACCTCGGCGGTAGCTGGTGAATCTTCAGCCCAAGATCGTAGCGGCAGCCATGATTCTGGTGTTTCTGCGCCAAGGGGAGCGCGAACAAGCCAGGGCTCGCTGATCAAGGAGGTGCTGAAAAACTTCACCGTCGAGAAGTTCAATGGTGAGGGCTATGATGATTGGGCCTGGAAAATGCAACTTTATTTCCGTCAAATCGGATTGCTGAAACTAATGATTGGGGAGGAGCCTAGACCGAGTGACCCCGCCCTTCAGGAAGATTGGGACGAGCGCGCCTCGGCTGGCTACTACTTGATGTCGCAGAGTTTGGAGCTGAACCAGCGTCACCACGTCATGCACCTGCTGCCGGAGGTTGAGTGCGGTCCGAAGGCGTGGACGGTGTTGAAGGAGCTGCACGCCCCGACCTCCGTTGTTGCAACATTGATGCTGGAGAGGGAGCTGTCCGCGTTGCGCCTGAGCGAGGGAGAGCCGGTGCAACCTGTCCTGGACAAATTGCGCGACCTCTACGCGAAGTTGGCGACCGCAGGAATCACCTACCCGGAGCAAACAAAGTGCTTGAAGATGCTCTCGCTGCTGCCGGAATCGTGGCTTCAATTTACGAGCGGATTGAGCCTGCCGCAGAACCAGAGCTTGTGGACGCTCGAGTGGGTGCGGACGAAGATTCTGGAGGAGGACTTCCGTCGCCGCCAACTGAGGGGTGGAGACGACGGCAGCAGCAGCTACGGGATGCAAGGGAGCCGACGTGGCAAAGGACGTGGCTTCGGTGGTGCTGGACGCGGTGCAAAGAAAGACGACGACTCCAACGACCAACAAGGAGGTACCGGTTGGGGTCGCGGTGCAAAATCTGGACGTGGGGGCAAGTCGGGTGCTGGTGGCAAAATGAAAGGGAGTTGCTGGTATTGTGAGAAGGAAGGGCACCCCTGGTTTTTGTGCTATAAGAAACCCGATGGATGGACCCCCCAGAATCGTCACCAGGATGGTGGCGCGCGGAGAAACCAGAAAAACGGTGCCAACATGATCGCTGATTCGTCCGACAACAACCCAAAGGGCAACGGCGGTGCGGAGAAGAAGAAGGAGCGCACCGCGGGCCAATTCTTCCATATGGGAGACAAGGGGGAGCAAGGAGACGCCTCTGCTAAGGCTGGAGCAGAGCTGCACCCCCTGGACTATTGGGTGTTGGACACAGGCGCTGCTTGGACAATGACGCCGCGCAAGGACCTGCTGGACGACGTACGCGCTGCACCGATTAATGAGGTGTGCTCTGCCTCTGGACACATGTTGAAGGTGGCTGGTGCGGGACGAGCTGCATTTAAGGGAGCGGATGGCAAGCCGGTGGTGCTGCACGACGTTCTCCTCGTCCCCGACCTGAAGGCCAACCTCATCTCCCTCCGTAAGCTTGGCAAGGCTGGGGTGAACACCAACACGGATGGGGCTCGCACTTATAAGGGGAAGCTGGGCAATCGGGTGCTTTGGGATCTGCACGAGAGCAAGGACGTGTACAGATCTATGTGGCAGCTGCCGGCGCTGGCGTGGCACGGTGGGGGGCAGGCTGGAGAGGGGTCTGCATCCCAGGGGGAGTGCAACGCCGTTGGAGGGGTTGGTGTGAAAGTGTCGGCCAGATCTGGGGAGACGGATTGGGCAACTGCACACTGACGCTTGGGGCATGTGGCAATGCCTTTGCTGAAGCAGTTGGAGAAGGATGGAGCCGTTAAGGGCTTGAAGCTGAATGGACAACCACCCGATGATAACTGTGAAATCTGTTTGCTCTCAAAGTTTACCCGTTTCCCCTTCCATAGTGTGGCTGGCAGGAGCAAAAAGCCGTTGGAGCTGGTCCACATGGACTTGGTGGGGCCGCTGCCGGTGCAAGGGCACAAGGGGGAGCGGTACTTCCTAACCATAGTGGATGACTGGAGCAGGCTAATGTGGGCGTATCCGCTGAAGCAGAAAGATCACGCCGCCTCCACGATTCGGGACGATTGGCTGCCGTTCGTGGAGAAGCAAGCGGAGTGTGTGGTGAAGCGGATTAGGACAGATCGGGGTGGTGAGTTCCTTGGAGCTGAGATGACGGCCTGGCTCAAGAAGCAGGGCATCCAGAGGGAGCTGACCACGGCTTACACCCCACAGTCCAACGGTGTAGCAGAACGGGCGAACCGGACAATTCTGGAGACAGCTAGGGCGCTGCTCATAGAATCTGGGCTGGGCAACTTGATGTGGCCCCATGCTGTTCGGCACGCTACCGTCGCTAGGAACAGGGTACTCACAAAGGTTGGGGATGACTCGTGGGTGCCGTTGGAGAGGTGGCTTGGGAGGAAGCCGCCGGTGGACATGCTGAGAGTGTTCGGTTGCATGGCAGTCGCCCACGTTCCCAAGACCTACCGCAGTAAGTTGGGGGCAAGTGCAATCTGGTGTGTGCATTTGGGGCTGGCTGCTGAGAGCAAGGGATGGCTGCTGTGGGAACCTTCCAAGGGTGTGCTGTTTGACAGCAGGGATGTGAAGTTTGTTGAGGGCATGATGTATGGGAGCTGGGAGAAACAGCTGGAGGCCAGGGTGTCCCAGCAGATGGAGCAGATTACCATGCAGCTGGACCTGACTCCTAGTGTGTGGGAGGAGGGAGAGGAGGCAGCTGCAAAAAGTGGTGCTGGGGAGAAGGTGCAGGAGGCACCTGCCGGTGAAAACAATGGTGTGGAGACTAGCGGTAGCACTAGTGGAGCTGCTGGATCCGAGGGAGGAGAGCAGCAGCAGGGGAAAACTAAGAAGCCGAAGGGTGTTGTTATGAAGGGATGGGAGACACCCGTCTCCAGGCCAGGACGTACCCGTATGGCTACTAAGAAGCTGACTGCAGGAGCTGATGTAGCGGAGCAGCAGCTTGGGACCGAGGAGGCATTGCTGATTCTACCGCATGGCTATGACCCGGATGAGGAGGATCAACCTGCATACTGTTTTCTTGCCCCTGCACCAGAGGAACCAGCTAGCATGGAGGAGGCATTAGCTGGACCAGATAGGGACAAATGGCTAGCTTCCAGGGATGCTGAGTACCAGAGCCTGCTGGAGAATGGGACTTGGGAACTAGTGGTGCTGCCTGAGGGAAAGAAAGCGATACAATGCAAGTGGGTGCTAAGGATCAAGACTGACGACAAGGGGCAGGTCACCATCTACAAGAGTAGGTTGGTGGCTAAGGGGTTTATGCAGAAGGAGAAGCGGGACTTCAATGAGATCTTTGCTCCCACTGCCAAACCCCCTACCCTTCGTGTCTTGTTGGCAGATGCAGCCGTTAGTGGGAAGTTCATTATCCAGATGGACATATCAACGGCATTTCTCAACGGGATTTTAGAGGAGGAGGTGTTCATGACGCAGCCGTCTGGGTATGAGGATGGTACGGGCAGGGTGTGCAAGCTGAAAAAGTCCATCTACGGCTTGAAGCAGGCGCCACGCTGCTGGTACCAGAAGTTGGCAGCTGTTTTAGAGGAGATGGGATTCAGGACCAGCAGCTCTGATGAGAGCCTCTTTCTCAAGGGGGAGGGGGAGAAGCTGGTGCTGTTTCTGGTCTATGTGGACGACATTCTTCTCTTTAGCAGCAGCATGAAGGAGATCCAGAAGGTGCAGCAGCAGCTGATGGAGAACTTCAAGTGCAAGAACCTTGGGGAGGTAAAGTACTACCTCGGGATGCACGTAGAGAGGGATCCAGATCACAGGTGGTTGAAGCTGCACCAGGAGAAGTTCATCAAGGAGCTTGGGGAGAAGTACGGAATTGAGAATGAGCGCAAGGTTGCAACTCCCCTGCCAGCAGAATTCAAGCTTGTGAAAGCTGCAGAGGATGAAGGGGTTGAAGCCAAGGAGCAGCAGCAATTTCAGTCCTTGGTGGGCAGCCTCTTGTATGCAGCAGTTCACACGAGACCCGACATCTCTTTCTCGGTTGGGCAGCTGGCTAGGGTAGTGCAGAATCCATCAGAGGAGCAGGTGGATGCAGCTGAGCGTGTGGTGAAGTATCTGAACTCTCACCCAAGCATTGGAGTTCAATACTCCGCATCTGCACAGGTGAAGCAGAAAGGGGTTGAGGTGCTGAAAGAGAAGGGGGAGAGGCTTGGAGAAGGCAAGCTTTTTCTCACTTGCTTTACTGATGCTACGTGGGCCTCTGAGAAGGAGGATTCCTCATCTGTGGGAGGATACATCTGCGTAGTTGGGGGAGGACCGGTTAGTTGGAGGTCAAAGAAGCAGACGGAGACAGCACTCTCTTCCGTGGAATCAGAGTACATGGCGATGTTCCATGGGGTGAAGGAGGTGATTTGGCTGAGGAGGCTGTTGGAGGAGATTGGCCAGGAGCAAAAGGTTGCTACGCCGCTGTTTTGTGATAGCAAGGGAGCTCTTGGGATGGCCAGGAACGCTGTGCTTCATGGGCTGAATAAGCACATGCGTATCAAGTGGCACTGGCTGCGTAAGGAGGTGAAGAGGGGGACGGTGAATCCGATCTAC